GCTATATAAATAAAATTGAATTGAATTGAAAGGCAACTGGTCTGAAACAGTTTAGTGTTCATGGACTGTAACTAGAATAACATTTTTGGCCATTGATAATGCTAAAAGAAACATGATCTTTACTCATACTTTCCTAACCCTAACCTTCAATCAATCTGAATCTTAACTCAAATCTCAAACTACTTGTTGTGAGACCATTTCTTTATTTTTCACACCAAACTTTACAGAGAGCTCATCAAATATAACTAATGGTTTAACAGAATGAGGATTTGACAATACAAACTTAAAATCAACAAGAAAACAGCTGCCGAACGTGGATCAAAATGCATCCAATAACAAACAACATGTGGACTTCAAAGATACAGTAAATAAACTAAAGTGAAAGGAGGAGCTAAAATTAGAGTTTTCAAAAGAATTTGAATGAACTAAAAGAAGTCATCTGCGATCTCAAAATGGTCTTCATGTGTGCTGCTGTTTTTAGCTTTTAACATTTCTTTTCTGCCACTGTGATTAAGAATGTGTTCTTTGCCTGATTAAATAAAGGTTACACTGACTCACTGCTCTATCTTCTGGTACAAACCAGTTGACAGATTTAGTTCATACTGGAAGCTTTAAGAGCAACTCGTGTGACATTATTTGGAGTTTGGGAAGAAACACTTTTAAGAGCACAGATTACCACAGCATAAGAAGATTAAACATGAAAAACAATTAAAATTTTATTGAGGTAACAGATAAAATAAATACAGTGGAACCCCGACTTACGAATACCCCGTTTAAGTTATGAAGGCACTGAACGACATTATTTCTGCCCGTGTTACGGCAAAATGCCCGGGTAACGAAATCCACTGGCTCTGATTGGCTGAGCCTACAATGCCCACAATGCCTTCCGAATCATGTGACAACCCCTTGGCTTCCGTACTTGCGCTTCGCTGTTCCACTTGAACGACGTATTGTTGTTCTAGTTAGCAATTAGCCTATAGCCTATTGTTCAGCATTGCCTCACTCAAAACGCGCAATGGCTGCTTCGACTTACGAAAATTTTCGACTTACAAAAGACCCTTAATTTTGTACGTCGGGGTTCCACTGTACATACAAGTACATAGAAATAAGTTAGATTTGGAAAAAAGCAAGAAAGTTATAATGAAAAAAATATATATACACACATGTATATACAGTCGCCTGGCGCTATAACATGGTTCACTTTTCCCCGTCTGATTTTTTTGTGTGCAAATTTGCATGTTTTTTTATTTATTTAATTTATTTTAACAGCGGATTATGTTCTGGGTACTGATTGTAGACCACTGTGGCTCAAGGTCTTAAGTAATCAGACCTTGAGTCACAGTGGTCTGCCGTGTCTCCTGTCAAATTTACATAAATCTTCGATCGCTAGTAGTGTGACTGTGAGGTGCTGTACTGTCTGTAAGTTTTTGTCATGGTCCCCATGTCTGCCTGGCTGACCCAGGTTGGCTACATATGTTTCTGGTTCTCCCTCTCTCTTTCCCTCACGCTCACCATGTGTCGCCTGGGCGGAGCTCATTGCAGGCTTCCGATCCTGCCCTTCGCACCTGTGGCTCATCACTTCACCAGCTACCACTACTTAAGGCAGTGGCTGGAAACATCTCATCGTTGGACTATTGAGTAACCTCGGTAGTAACATTATCGTTTTATCTTGCTGGATTAACCGCTTGTGCAGGATTCTCTTTCCCTTAAAACCCTGGGCGAGTGGAGTTGCTGGTGTGTTGTGTTTTGGAACTGCGTGGCGATTTCCTCATGTGTAAAGAGCCCCTATTTCTGGACCTCCCCTGTGCCCCTCTGGATCCCCCCCCCCTCTCTCACCTATATATAGTTGCACCTGGTGTTGTGTGTTAATAAAAGGAACTGCATTTAGCTTCCCTTGTCTGCGCATGAGTCCACCCCTCCTCGTGACAGTTTTCTTCCCAAAAAAACACAATGTTGACGAAATGTTTTGCACCATCAAAGGCATCTGTGAGTGCCTTTGGTTTCATTCTATAATACTGGACGTCTTTTTCTACGAAGATTTGAACTTTCACAAGAGAAGTGTGAAAATTGCCCATGTGTCTGACAAAAATGTATGAAGTGTGTAGTGGGGTGTTTTACAGCCTTAAAACATCTATAATCTATAATAATTGTAAAAAATAAAGTTGGATACTTGGATTTCACCTATCGTGGGTTATTTTTAGAACATAACTCCTGCGATAAATGACCACTGTATGTAAAATAGCTGCTTGGTATTTTGTTTGAAAATGCTTTTTGAAGTTATTATTATCCACATCTGCAGTTTTCATACAATATCAGTTTGGTAAAACACACATTCCTATAACTTTTATAATACAATAAAAAGTACAACTACTACACACTACAGTGTACTAAGGGAACAAAGATTAAAATGTGACAGGGATAAAAAGCACTAATATCGCTCAAAGGAAAATAAACTTGATGTTTATCTCCATACTACCTAAATTTAACATTCAGTGTGTTTACTGCAGGTCCAGAAATAAGAGCTACCTCATCAGATTCAAGTGTGACATCAGCTGCACTCTTTACAGGAGACTCCAGCTGAACTCAGTGGAGCCTGATCTCAAGGTTTTTAAGTCTGACCCTGAAACCAGAAGAGGAACTTTCTGTCTCTTCAGATTCATTGTGATCCAGAGATGGGAGTGCTTTCATGATCACGCTGATGTTTGCACAGAGCAGATAATGAAGTGAATGTTTTTGCACATTGGTAACAGTGAAACTGTTTATTTGCAGCGTGGGATCGCTTGTGTGTGGTGTATGAACTGAGATTTCTGAAGGTCTTGTCACACTGGTCACAGCTGAAGTTCCCTTTAATGTGTGTACGTTCATGTGTTTTACAATGAGCTGATTGTGAGAAGCTTTTTTCACAGTGTCTGCACTTGTAAGGTTTCTCTCTTGTGTGGACTCGTTTATGCAGGTTTAGGTCACCTGCAGTACTGAAGCCTCTCCCACATTCGTTGCAGTAGTTCATTTTGCCTCCAGTGTGTCTAAGTTGATGTTTTCTTAGGCTCCCACGATTACTGAAAGTTTTTCCACAAAGGTCACAAAGAAACTCTTTCCCACCATCACAGTGCTCACAGGGTTGAGAACTGGATCCATCTGTGTCGCTCTGCTTCTAAACAAAGACACAAACACAGTGCAAGTCAGTCCTTCAACATTTTTATTCTGAACCTCACCTGAAATAAAGAGCAGCCTAATTATATTTTACTGTTTACATTATAACACTCAGCTTACTGGGTGAAGTTAGAAATAAAATTTTTAAACAATGCTGTTTTTTATGTATGTGCTCATTAAAGAGTTGGCACTCCATGTAGTGATAGTCAAAACCTTTATTCAGCACTATGAATTATTGCGACTGACATGCTGAGTTGCAGAGGGTTCTGCAAACATGCTTACACATCACACTGGTTAAAGTCAGGGAGATACTTTTGCTTGACCAAGGGAGACTGAACAATATGTCCTGAGCTTACATAATAACTAGAAACGGTATGCTGAAAATTGCTAGATCATTTTAAATGCAGCAAAGATAGGTTGGGGAGGTGATTTTTCGTTCTCCATCTTATTCCAGGAAGAGGGATGATACAAGACGAGGTCAAACATGAATGAGGTGCAAGAGGAGAACCAGTCAGGAGAAGCCAGAAGAAGATAGTCATAACAATACATTTTTTTCTTTTAGCATAAAACTGTGCGGCCCTCCTCTAAGGGCATCCTTTGTGAGAAAACAGACGCTGATTTCACATCAATGTTCAGCACTGTAACTTTTAATTTCAACTGCTGAAGCAAATTAAATCTTTTAAAAGAATAGACGCTCTGACATACATTATCAGTAAGCAGTCTCGGTTACTGTCAGTGGCTTCATCCATCTGCAGAGAAAAGTGTTTATCACGCACCTTATCATTAGGCTGTTCCACTATGTCCTCTGACATATAATAATAATAATAATAATAATAATAATAATGTATACTTCCCTGTGGGGAAATTACTCTCTCTGCATTTGACCCATTCACTCAGTGAAGCCGTGGGCAGCCACTAAGGCGGTGCAGTGTGTAGGGACGGTATCTTGCTCAGGGGTACCTCAGGGTAGCTGTTCAGTGGATTTGAATGCCGGACCTTCTGATCATGGGGCTCTACTAGAGCTGGGTGATAGAACGATAACGATATGTATTGTGAAATAACTTTTTCTCGAAAGAAAAATTAAACTATTGCGATAGACCTCATCTCTCTTGTCCTCTTAACAAAAAAAAAAAGAA